ATAAATTTTTTACATAGATATAGATATTTCCGAATCTTGTTTTGGCCAGGCCAGAAGNGAATCTTGTTTTGGCCAGGCCAGAGGAAAATTTAAGAAATATTGGTATCGATCTCTCAATAAAATATACTCTCTAAAAAATACTTATTCAACAGACGTAAAAAAAATCAATAAGTAAAAAAAATTAAAATTGTATTTATAATAAAATACAGAGTGTTTAGAATCAATCACAAGTAAGACCAGTCATAGACTTTGTGTAATTAAATCATATTTTTTTAAATTTTGAATCATTTTTGTAAATTATCATATTAACTATAATACATATAGTGTAAATCGTATACGTAGTGCATTTAATACCAAAATCAACATTGGATTAATTGAAATATTATTGTATTACATAGGACGTAAGGTAAGTACAATTTAACCTATGCTTTCGAACTTCCAACAATCTATTGCGTGATAAACCATTAATAATTAATGAGAGAAATAATTAATGAAAAAATTAATTTAAATAAAATTGAAGACAATTAAATCTACATTAAAATTACAAAAACTTATAATAAATAATGATTATAATAATTTACTAAGCACCCCTAATTTCTTTTTATATTCACTCTCTCCTTTCTATTTTTCTCATTTTCTTTTCTTTCTTTTTATTTTTGGTTTATTACAAATAAATAGTAATTATAAAACTTTCTGACTGCATATTAATCTTAACGATACAATTTTTTTAACTCTCATAAAATTTTCTATTTAATGATGTCAATTTCAAACTTGCCAATTGAGCTAAAAGTTATGGTAAAATAAATTATTTTTTTTTATTATAAACAATTACTGTTTGTTACTATAAATAAATGCACTGGACTACAAGGAACTTTCATCAGAAGCAAAAATATACTTTTCTAAATCAACTTTTCGCGTTGTTTTCAAATCTGCAATTAAACTTTTTCTATCACTTCTAATTATTAATATTATTACTAATTACATATAAAATAATAATTAAAAGAAAAAAAAATTGTTTACAAATTATTACTGATTTGATTTTTAATATGTTAAAAATAATCAGTCCATATTTTCCTTTTTAACCTATTTTTTTGGTTCTTTAAAGTTGATGAAAAATTTTTGATAAAGATTTGTGAAAGTTTATAGTAAAAAAAATCGAATATATTACCATAACTTTTAGCTTAATAAAAGCTCAATACAAGTTTAAAATTGACATCTAGGCCAGTCAACAAAGGAAAAATGGCAGAAAAAATTCCCAACCAAAATTTTTTGTTTTTTAAAGTTGAATTAAGATATGTATAATGACATAATAATAGTCTTCATTAATTGGAATTGAGTTTTTTTTTTACAGCCTCGCAAAAGTTAAAAAATATGAGCTTTTTTAATTTTCTCAAAAAATATTTAACTTACAAAAAAAAAATTCGTACAAAAGTTGTTTAAAAGACAATTATAAACAAANCAAAAGTTGTTTAAAAGACAATTCTAAACAAAAAAATTATCTTATATTTTTTCATTTAAACAAATATTTTTCGAGTTACATTACATTTAATATGAGTACTGTTACGTCGCTATTTAGGGGTTTAGCCTAAATGCCCGTCGACAGTATTCTAAGGGACCAACGGGGGATAGCTGGCTAGGCTATATCTACCTTAGGTACTGAAGTTTCCTATTTAATTTATATTCCCTTAGAGGAACTACCAAGGGTCGCACTACAATATATATATATAACACTTTAGGTTAACAACGATATAAATAAATATTTATTAAGCAATTGAAATATTAAATGGATAATACAACCTGCTGGACACCTAGAGATGATTAATCCAACAGGGAGCTGACGGCGACACACACACACACTATAATATACGGGGTAGCGAAGTTAAGTTAATTATCAGGCAAAAGTAGTGATCGCGAAGATGGTAAAATGTCAACTGTCGATAGGGATCTCTTATTATGGCACATTGGCCGTGAATTGCAAAAAGTGTTTATGTGTGCAGTCCGCCCTCCTATTAGTATTGCTGTATGTCACTGTGTTAATTATATATATATATATATATATATATATATGTCTATTAAATGGTACAACGATGTTATGGGAGACAGAGATATGGGCACATGCAAATGTGATCGTATCAGTACTAAAATTTATTTTCTATTTTTTTCATTTTACGCTTACTTTTTATCATGTTATAATTACATTAGACACAATGTTATAAATGCATATGTGTGTATGTGTGAGTTTATTTATTATTTATTTTATTTATTTATTGTATCATTAAAGTGTAGTGTATATTAATATACAACCGATAGAGTAGGTAATTGATTTGACACTATATTGTTTAAAACCAACTTAACGCTAAATTGTACATTAACAAACAACAATCATATTATGTCAAATGTCACCGGAATATCTGGTAATCTTCTTCCTTTTCCTTGCTTTAATCCCAACTACTTGGAATCACCCACCCTTATCCTGAACTTCCACTTAACACGATCTCCCCCCACATCTTCTACGCTCACATCAGCTGTCCGATATTGTTATAATACATACACCACTCATTATTCAGTAGTATATATGTTATTACCTATTAGTCATCAAATTAAAAATATTATTCATGTTAATACTTTAAACTATTCCAAGAAATATGTCTAAAAATACATTAATATAAATCTACTGTAATAATTATAAGAAATTCTTTAGTTGTGACAAATTATCTATTTTAAGTAAAATAATATGTAATAAATAACACAAATTGAGTAATAAACAGATAATAGTAAAAGGTCGTGACACTTCTTGCATAGATAGATGAATTAAATTTAATATAAAAGGGCATAAAAACTGTCAATCTCTCTCACTACTACTTCACCTTATGAACTTTTAACGAATGCAAGAAGTGGCTTGACAAAATACGATTTTACATAGAAAATTGAAGTATATTCATTTTTTCAACATTAGTTCTGAAATCATTAAGGTAAATTCATATTCAAAGTAAATATAATGAGTACATAAATTAAGTAGGAAACCAGAAAAAGTAAAGTGATCTCTAGAATAAAATATTGTCTAAATAAATAAAGAGAATCAATAACGTTTGTACGAAGTTAGCCAGCCTAGTCTAATCTTTGAGTGGGTTACCTGTGTAGTCAATACTAATAAAGACTCTCTTGCGAAGATAGAGAACCCACTCGTGGTTCCTAAACTACTCGAGGTTTTTATTGACTCGACTCAAAGTCAGCACAGNTTATTGACTCGACTCACAGTCAGCACAAGCCTAGATAACTACTGGTACGAGTGGCGTTGTTGATGATCTATGTGTGATAATTAATCACAATAATTTATATTTAAAATTATTATTATATTAATAAATTTTCAAACATCACTTTGTTTTTCTATATTTTACATTTTCTAATATACCCTCGTACTCATATCCCGAGAGAAAATTATATTATATCATTTTCTTTATTCAANTCATGTCTCGTTCAGAGATTCGAACTCGGAACCCCATAATCGGACTGTCACGCGCTATCCATTAGACAATAGTACGACCTTATCCCAATTGAAAAATTAACTCTATTAAAGTTAAACAACAATTTTCAAAGTCGATTTTCTCGACTTAGGGGGGGCATTGGCAACAAATTCGAAATAAAGGTGATTAAATAGTCAATATAGAATAGATCTATATACATTTTATGAAAATCGGTGGGTACCACACCGTGACCTCCCCTTGTAAGTCTATTTTCTCTCATCTTATCCACAACTGACACTACACCTATACTCACTCTTATATACTCGTTTCTTATTTTATCTTCTCTAGTCACTCCACTCATCCAACTAAGCATTCTCATCTCTGCAACAATTATTCTCTGCTCTACATTCTTATCAACCGCCCATAATTTCATACTAAATTTATAAACTATAATTAGTATTTATTCATATATTATATTTTAAAATCTAAGAGCTACTAATCAAGATATAATTAAAGAAATAAGAATGGATGTTGCTTTTAGAATAATCCACCAATTTCTCTAAAGGAAACACTATCTACAGATTTGCATCGAAGCGTTTCTTATGATAGTGATTTTAATCACTGTCAGATATCATCTATACTTGTCCCATCTATGCCTCGTCACACTGTGCTACCGTTTTTTTTCTGATTATTGTTGGCTTACTCATTTATAATTGTAAATATGAATAATTTTTATCCTCAATTATTTTTATTATACATAATTACTTTCTTAATTAGACGTGGTCTTGAATAATAATTATATAAATTCTTGAATTTATATTTTTAATTTTGTCAGTCATTGGATGAAGTATTAAAGATATATGCTGACTAGCGCGACAATAATTTTGTCAACTATTTATATATTAATAATACACATCAAAACATAATATGCAATGCATCTTGTATAGTAGATGGTTAAAAGAGCTTGAATTAATTATAAATGTTTTAAAAATTTTTAACCTTTATCGTACTTAAACAAAAATTATAGCAACAAGAGGTTACAATATTAAAAAATCACAATTATTTCTAAAATGAGAATTATGGCTTAAATGTTATACTTTACTGCTTACAACTTACTATTAATATTAATTTTATATTTTATTATAGCGTAATAAAAATCTTTAACTAGCTTGTCATTTATGCTTTATTAATACGCTATTATTTTGGAATGCTATAATTCGTGCGCATATTAAAGAAATATTTTTTACATTTTAAAAATACTGATTATTCTCGGTCCAAAGATCTTTATTATGTTAACTTATGAAATTCTAGTTTGGTCGGTAATAACACCTAACGTTCTTGCTGATAAAGCGATTGGCCACCGCGACATTACAAAAACGTAACCCTGACATTCATCATTATCTCACGTGAGACGACATTTGATGATGATAAATATTTTACACGGTATTAAAATTGTTTCGTCTTCTCTTAGTGACGATATTAGAACAATATTAAAATAAGATATTATATAATATTAATTAACATATAACACGTGTGTGTGGTATGAGAGTCTTTATTAAACTAGATGTACGGGTTAGTTGCGACAACGCAGTTAGATAACACAACAAAAATTAAGTAGTATTACTTATTAAAATCAATTTTTTAGCATCTTAATACTACTCGATTAATATTATTTTAGATTTTGATCATTGAGATAATTATTAAATTTTATGAGTATTATAATATTTTTATCAAATTTTCTTTTATTCCAGCAGCGACCGAAAATTTTTCCGGCACTGTCTGATGATGATTATTACAATAAATTTTTATAACTCCGATTAACGGTTTATTATTAATCTAATTATTAATACGTTATTAAAAAAAAAAAAAGAATATTTATTGAAAGTTTAATTATTATTATAATTGATTTGTATTTTATTCCAGCGTGTCCGACGATTATTTTTTCCTGCATCGTCTGATGATTGATCTATTAAAAAAAAAAAGAGAAAACATGAATTACAGTTCGTTCAATACGACTTTAAAAACAATATTATTACTTAATACGGATAAATGTTTTACTATTTAACAAATCAAACTACAGCGTTAAAACCATACTGTAGTTTAAGTTGAACAAAAAATACGTTATTAATAAATGAACTTAAATAATATACTTACATAAGTCGATATAACACTGTTAGGGGTTTGTTTAATAGTTGAGGATCTTGGTCAAAACCAAGAATCGGAAGCTACCCGACGTCTGCCCAAATATCGTCCCTATCTCCTTAAATGAGTTTTAATTGCCTGAAGGAGACACAGGCAATCGTGTACCTTAGTTACAGGGGATAGATTATTAATTAAAATTAGACTATTGTGTTAGGAACAGGACTGAACAGTGAACGAACTCCTATTCTTACGAAGGCGACAAGAGAAAAGCCGGTTAGTCAGTTGATTTTCTAAGTATGACTATCTGATTTATTTGTATAGGAAGGTGCGTAGAGTGGAGGGATAGGGAGGAATTGGAACAATTAAGCTAAATAAAAATTATAACATCAAGTATTATGAGAGTAAAAGTAAATAAAATTTGTACCATGAGTAAGCCAATTAACTCCAATGCTCTAACTACCTTACCTGTAATATGTGTTCAGTTAGTTATTTATAATACATGATTTGTGATAGTGGACTGTATATGTGCTCAAGAGGTAAAGGGAAATGTGAATATTCAGTGCGACATGATTCAGTGAAATCAGTAAATTTATTGCAATGAGCAAAGTACAAGAGTAATGTTTAATACAGACTTAAATTCAATTATTTTGTACAATTATATTAACAAATTAAATTAAGTAATTAGCAGGTATTGGACAAAACACAAGTATAATTGTTATGAACGTTAACAAAATGATATCAGAATATAAATAAGGAAATAGGAGATCATGTAGCTTATAGAATAATCCACCAATTTTTTAAAATTAAACACTATCTACAGATTTGAATCGAAGCGTTTTTTATGATAGTAATTTTAATCACTGTCAGATTAAATCTATACTGGACCCAACTATGCCTCGTGCCCAATGTGCCGCAACCCCACTATGTTGGGTTTTTTATATTAATGAAGCATATTAATATTAAACATAAAACAAAATAATCGATACAATTATATTTCAAATAAGTAAAAATAATTATACAGTTGTTGGATTTATATATTTCAGGTTATATTTTAAAGTACATGTTAAAATTTGTTTGTGCAGTTAGACAATTTTTTTACGTAGTAAATATAAAAAATTAGGGCCTAATAAAATTACTAAAATTATAATTAAATCAAGCTACAATAATATTACTCGAAGTATTAATATTTTAATCAACTTTATCTCTATGATATCATTCTTAAAAAATATTCAAATTTTGAATACATTATAATCTGTAATATTACATTTTGGTATGTTTCTGGGCAGGCCTGGTAAACATTTCAGGTTTTAAATCGAAAATATAGTAGGAGATTAATTGACCTTATTTTAAATTGGATTTTTAATTAGATAAATTACATCCTCTATTAATTATTTCGTTATCTAAAAGTCTACACGCATTTGTTAAAACTGTTGAAATATCAGCTAACAAATTAGAATTACTCGGTGGAGGATATGTTTTTTGAATATCCATACGTTTATAATAACTAGCAAATTTTTTAATTTCATTTATAGCATAATAAAAAGCGTTTTCAGACTGATTATTATTTACCATCAAACGTTCATTTTTGTTATTATTCATATCATTCAATTTATTTTCTATTGTCATTACCGTTTCATTAAAATCTTTTAAATCTTGTAAAATCTTCGCGGTGCATTCGTTTATTATTATACCATTTGTTTTATCATAACATTTTGAAATATTTTCTTTGAAAACATTTAAACTGGGTTTTAAAGTATTAGCGAATGAACAGCCTATTATTAATATTGCTATATTTAAACGATCATTTTCGTCACTGATATTTATTACATTACTTAAATCATATATAGTGTCATTATATTTAACGCTAATTAAATCGTTTAGATTATAATTCTGAATTCTTGTTTGAAGATCTGCAAAAGAGTTTTGTGCCAAAACAAACTTCTTAGTGTCTGACATGAAAATTGTCATGTAAACGTAAAGACAAAAGTTAACACTTTGAAATACCATGATATTTAAAAACTGGGTAATATAAAAAATTTTATGAGCCAAAAATCTTAAAAAAATTTTACCGTACATAAATTTTTGTAAAATTAATGTTATTTTATAGTATATAAAATAAAGTCTCATAAATAGATTACATTACATGCGTTAAGCACGCAGATTTTTTGTTTATTATGATTATTAGTTCAAGTGCTACATTTTAGCTATGTTTTTAGCTAAAATTACACTATGAAACTTGAATATTGATTTTTGAAATATTTAGCACACATAGATATAAAAATTCAAATTGTAGAATGTAAAATTAAATTAAAGAAATTGACAATTTTTCGGTTTTTGTAAAAAATTGCTAATTTTCAAAATGTTTAAAATTTTTTTTACTTAAAACTGCCATAACTTTTTTAAAAATGACTAAATCAATATAATTTCTTTTTAATGATGCATAATGTCTTTACCTATTATATGGTATATAATTTTTATAAATCTGACCCTTTACCGCCCACAAAGGTTTTCAATATAGCAACTTTTCAACAAAGAATTAACTTTGTAAATTGTGTGCAGAAATACTGACACTTTTATATAAATCTTAAATTAAAGTTAATATAATATACTTTATTTAAGATAAATATTTTACTCCTGTGCTTATCTTCGTGGTGAAAGTGGGCATCAACTTTATAGAAAAACGTATGATTTTTGTGAAAAAACTATAAAATTATAATTTATATTTTTAACTTTATAATCCTATAATATTTTGAAAATATAAGTACGAGTAATAGGAATAAATTCCAACAAATTGTCAAGTATAACTCTTTTACAACTCTTTATTTTTAAAACCATAACGTTTAAAAAATGGTTTTTTTTTGTAGTTCAAACGGGTCATCGACATTACGAAGATATTTCCTTTGCAAATTATTATGTATCATCTTTTTCTAATTCGATGTACTTCAAAAAGTTCATAAAATCGAAAAATTTGTCCATAGTTAAATAAGATTTGATCACTAATAAAGAAAATATTATTACGTTGCAAAACACTCAAAACGTGACTTATCATTGAAAAACTAATTAATAATTTATCACATAAAGTTTATGTGGTGGAAATCTACCCCATAACTTTATATGTCCCCTTAACTAGCCAGTCCTCCTATAAAATTGACTATGCTTTGTAATATTGTTACCAATATATAAGTACTATGGGTCCCATAAAATGACAATGTACTTTAAAGTATGACTATAAATATTATTACAATAAATGAGTATAATTAATATATATTTCGTATTAGAATACAAATATATACTATAGCATTAATGCTATATTATAATTGGTTTTTAATATGTATAAAAATTATTTATATTCATTAATATTTATTTAATAATATTTTTTGTATAACATTTTTTAGCCATGTTTCAACTGTGGCGATTATAAATAAACTTTAAAAGAGGATGATAAAAAAACATGTATCACTATAACTACATTTGATAAATTACATGTAGTTCATTGAATATATCAAGACATAATGTAAGAATATTTCTCATCTGAACGATTAAAGATTTAAACTATAGTTTAGAGTTTTAATCGTTAAGTGTTAGTTATAGTTTTAACGATAGCAATAATTAAATTTAAAGTTTCACCCCCACGCCCTTCTCATTTTAATTATCTGGTTGTCCTACTTATTTTTAATTTTTAATAATTTTTTTTATATGTTCAACCGCTTACGTTTTAAAATTCTTTAAAAATCTGAATTTACAATATAAATTTATTATTATTTTGGTATTAATAATACTAAAAACAATAACAAAATCTGTTCCAATATGTAATAAATTAGTTTTAGTATATTATTAAAAAAAAATGTTCATGCCGCTCGTTTAACAATGCACAATAGTAAACGTGTATTAAATAAACGTACACGTATAAGTCTATTAGACACAATCTATTAAAAATAAGATTTCTGTATGATTATTTTCTATCCCTAAAAAAACAAACAATTTTTTTATTACATATTATTGTAGAATATTTTTTACAAAATAGTTTTTTACTTTATAAAAATTAAAAATTTCAATAGTTTCCAAAATAATGAGTCTTATCCTTAATGAATCACTTTTTATATCAATTAATTATGAAGCTATTCAATAAACTTAAGAGTTTTTTTTTTTAATTTTTACTTCTGTATTTTAATTTTTATGTTAGTATGTAATAAATTATAATACATTTTTTACAACTACAATTGAAATAATTTGACAAAATATTATTTTTAAATTTATTTAATGATGACTCAATTTTTAAGTTTTATAATATATAGTACTACGATAGCACTTGCAGAAAAAAACTAAAAATATAAATGTGCTATAGTATACCATACTGTGGGATATTAAAGTAACAATAAAATAACAGTTTGGCAAAAAACCTCACCAATTATTTATCTCTATGGTGTAAAGATCTAATGGGACTTTTCCCAACCAAATATCATGCTATAATAGAATTATTTACCAAATATTGTACTAGACGAATATCAAGTAAAAAAATTTTATTATATGATAAAACTTTGAAAAATTAGTTAATTCTAGAAAAATTACTTAACTATGTCTGATTTTCAACATTTTTTCTGGGGAAATTATCATAATGCTTTTATTTAAGACGAAAATAAAATGTTTAGTGCAACGTGAGCGTTTAAAATTTTTATCAAAAGGCTCCTTGCTGTAAGCAATTTTCGATTTAAAACCTGGAAAGTTAACAAGCCTGCCCAAAGAAATACCAAAATGTAATATTACAGATTATAATATGTTTAAAATTTGAATATTTTATAAGAATAATATCTTAGGGATACAGTTGATTAAAATATTTATACTTCAAGTAATATTATTGAGCTTGATTTAATTATAATTTTAGTAATTTTATTATGCCCTAATTTTTTAGCTTCGATGCGAAGATGAGAAGGTGTTGGTTTTACTATGATGTGTTTTTTTTTTGTGTGTCCGTTACCACTTTTTCTCAGCTCTCACCGAACGGATGTCTTTCAACGATACGTCAAAAGTTCACAAATTGTATCTAGTCGAAAAAATTACCCAAAAAAATTGAAAAAATTTCCCTTGTTCCCCGTAAATAGGGGAAACCTCCAAAAAAATTTAAAAATCGCTATTTTCGAAATTTTTTCAATTTTTTTACTAAAACCAGCCGTAACTTTTTCAAAAATGAACATATCAATATAATTTTTTTTTTTATAGATGCATGATGTCATTACCTATCATTTTTTTATAAATTTGACTTTTTACCTGCCCACAGGAGGGGATTTAAAATGACAACTTTTTTACAAAAAATTAATTTTTTTAACTTAAATTTTGAAAATGTTCCGGAAGATCTGACACTATTATATATATATTAAATTAAAGCTAATGTAATATACTTTATCATGAAAAAAAAAAATTTCGGACTTTATCTTATCTTCATGGTGAAAATGGCTACCGAATGCTATTTTTGTGTGAAAATTTTCGATTTTGTATTTTCCATTTTTAACTTTATTATGCTATAACTTTTTGAAAAATGTATGAATCATTACAATTTTTTTATGAGAAGTAGTATTTATATAGATCTTTCATTCGACATACTGTTTTTTTAAATCGGACCATTTCCCTAAATACAGGGGGGATTCAAAACATAAAAATGCATATAGAAAGTAGAACTTTTTCAACGTAACTTTTGAAAGTGTTCCGGAAGGTCTGACACTTTTATATATATCTTAAATTAAAGCTAATGTAATATGCTTTATTATGAAAAAAAAAAATTTCGGACTTTATCTTATCTTCATGGTGAAAATGGCTACCGAATGCTATTTTTGTGTGAAAATTTTCGATTTTGTATTTTACATTTTTAACTTTATTATGCTATAACTTTTTGAAAAATGTATAGATCATTACAATTTTTTTATGAAAAGTAGTATTTATATAGATCTTTCATTCGACATACTGTTTTTTTAAATCGGACCAATTCCCTATATACGGAGGGTTCAAATCTAAAAAATGCATGTAGAAAGTAGTACTTTTTCAACTTAACTTTTGAAAGTGTTCCGGAAAGTCTGACACTTTTATAAATACCTTAAATTAAAGTTAATGTAATATACTTTATTATGGTAAACAAAAATTTCAGACTTTATTTTATCTTCATAGTGAATACAGACATCAAACTTAATAAAAAAAATACGATTTTTGTAAAAAAATTCTTTTTTATATTTTTAACTTTATAATGCTATAACTTTTTGAAAGATGTATGGATTAATATAATTTTTTTTTTTATAAATGCATGATGTCTTTACCTATCATTTGGTATATTTTTTTATAAATCTGATATTTTACCTGCCTAAAGGGGGGGATTAAAAATGACAACTTTTTCAACTTAAATTTTGATAGTGTTCCCGAAAGTCTGACACTTTTATAAATATCTTAAATTAAAGTTATAATGCTATGACATATTGAAAAGTGTATGGATCAACATTATTTTTTTATGAGAAATAATATTTTTTAATAATCCCTTTTTCATTCGACATACTTTATCTTAATTAGGATATTAATAAGGAACTAGCAGATAGTGTTTAAAATTAAACACTATCTAAAGATTTGCATCGAAGCGTTTTTTTTTTATAGTGATTTTAATTACTGTCAGATATCATTATACTTGATCCAACTATACCACGGAACCACTGAGTCGCGACCCCCCTGTGCTGGGTTTTTTTACTTTTTTTTTTTTATAATAATAATAAAACCGTCACAGTGAACCATTAAAACAGTGTTTGGTTTGAAATATTTTATTATTTCATTATTTATAATTTTTCTATTAAAATTATGAGCTCTTCGAATTGAATCTTTACTTATGGAATAATCTTTAATATTTTTATCACACGAAGTTAAAGCAGACGCCAAAATATACGTGGCTTTTCGGCTAGATACGTTTGTTCTGTCTAACGCTGAAGTGAATTGTGTGTTCAAGATATTGTTTCTTATTTTATTAGTTGTGGGATGATCAAGATGACATTCAAAATTTGACAGACTAGTATCTTGTGAACTATCATCAGCGCTAGAAAGACTCTAACTATTTTCGCGTTTGACGTTCAAGTTCTACAAAGTCTATATCTTTAGTGTTTATGTTCGAACACGTAGCTCTAGCGTGAACTATTTCTAAATCTGGACTTGTGGTGCTAGAACATCCAGGAGTTAGTTGAGGAATATGAAATTCTTTATTTGAGTCGTTGGATTGAAAAATATTACTATACGAAATGTCAAAAATATCATTTAATAAATTCAAAAACTTAATTTCTTTGTTATTTTGTGAAGTAGTATTTCTATTTTGATCTTTTTTAAATTTATCTATTGCGTATATAATAATTTTATTTAAGAAATTATATTACACTTGAGCTTAATGGTAAATTCGGTTTTCGACTACACCTGAATTATATGTTTAGAACAATCAATAGCAGTGTCTGCTATTGTTTTCTTCTCGACATTATGCTAATAAATGATCAAGGACATTGCGTTTTGTAGGTAGCTGTTTACCGAGCATATATTTTTGAGGAGCAATATTTAGACGATGATATTTTGTTATACTAACCATTATAAATTAAAATAAGAATTAATAAAAATCGTAATGAATAAATAAGTAATAAAATTATTTATTATTGTAAAGAATTTTTTTTTTTTGGAATTAAAACTAAAATAAAAAGTATTGGTGGATTTATTTAGAAATATTAATATGAAATGTATAAATTCAATTACAAATTGTATTGTAATGTTGATAATACAAAGTAAATTTATTAATCTTATATTCTGATAAAAATATATATGAGCTATTTTTCTTACCCTTTACTTAATAACCACGAGAAAAAAATTAATTTATTAAATAGAATTTAACTAAAAATTAATTTAAAAAAAAATTAAATGTATATTAGACTATAACTTTTAGGAAAAGTTTGTTGTACAACTAACAAATATTAGTCGGATACCATCAAAAAGATAGTGATGTATAACAATCAGTACAAACCCATACAAGAAAACTACTGGAAATAAATATAATGCCAAAACATCGTTTATGGTATCTTATCGTCGTGATCGCTATTATTGTCATAATTAAACTTTGTTTTGTTGTAATACTTATGAAATATACGTAATTGACCCTAAATTTATAACTTCGTGTACATAAAATTTTATATTAGCAAAAAAATTATTAACATTATATTTTTAAGTTTTTAATTCTTAAGACTATAATCAAACAAACAATAATTAAACTTAAATATAGTGGTATATTAAACATTGCCACAAAAAATTTAAAAAGGAATCAGTAAAATTTGACGATATTTTCATTTATTTTTATGTACATTGTATATTCTAGTGTACGTTCTAATCTAAAAAAACCCAGCACAGGGGGGTCGCGGCACAGTGGTGACGTGGCATAGTTGGATCAAGTATAATGATATCTGACAGTGATTAAAATCACTATCAAAAAAACGCTTCGATGCAAATCTTTAGATAGTGTTAAATATAAAAAAATTGGTGTATTATTCCAAAAGCTACATGATCTGCTAGTTCCTTATTAATATCCTGATTAAGATATAGTATGTCAAATGAAAAAGAGATTATTAAAAAATATTATTTCTCATAAAAAATTGTATTGATCCATACATTTTTTAAAAAGTTATAGCACTTTAAAGTAAATTATAAAATCGAAAAATTTCACACAAAAATAGCATTCGGTAGCCGTTTTCACCATTATGACAAGTCTAGAGGCCAATTTTTTTTTTTCAAATTAAAGTATATTACATAAGCTTTAATTTAAGATATATATAAAAGTGTCAGACTTTCCGGAACATTTTCAAAAGGTAAGTTGAAAAAACTTTTTCTATACAGATTTTAAAAGGTTTGCACCCCCTCTGTATAAAGGGAAAAGGTCCAATTTAAAAAAAAAGTATGTCGAATGAAAGAGGTATATATAAAGTATTTATTATTAAAGAATAGAATTGATTCATGCATTTTTTAAAAAGTTATAGCAATATTATGTTAAAAAATGTAAAATATAATATCAAGAATTTTTTTTCTAATTAAAGTACATTACATTAGCTTTAATTTAAGATATATATAAAAGTGTCAGACCTTTCGGAACATTTTCAAAAGTTAAGTTGAAAAAGTAAATTTTTGTGAAAAAGTTGTCATTTTAAATGCCCCCCTGTGAGCAGATAAAGAGTCAAATTTACAAAAAAAAATATACCAAATGATAGGTAATGACATCACGCATCTATAAAAATAATTTTTTTGGAGGTTTCCCCCATTTACGGGGAACGAGGGAAATTTTTTTAATTTTTAAGGGTAATGTCTTCGACTAGATACGATTTGTGATCTTTTGACGTATCATTGAAAGAAATCGGTTCGGTGAGAGCTGAGAAAAAGTGGTAACAGACACAAAAAAAAAAAATAAAAAAAATAAACACATCATAGTAAAACCAATACCTTCTCAGCTTCGCATCGAAGCTAAAAAAAGGTAGTAGTTTTAAACATTAGTGGAAACATTTTTTCCTCTTAAAATACACACAAATATTAATCAAATTTAAAAAAAAATGAAAAAAAAAATTGTTTTGGCTTACTTAGGTGTTCGTAGAACTTAACCATATTTTTGAGATTTTTATGAACTTTGCGCAATTATTTTGAATAAATAATGACATTTTATGTTTTTTGAGTATTTTTGGTCAATTTTCTTAAAACGCGTTGAGCGACCTGTAAAAATTTTTTTTTAAACCTCAAATTTTCATAAAATGTTTATTTTAATGTGTATAATAAATTTATAAGGTATCTCATAAACATTTCGAAGATCGATTATATTTATATAAATTATATTTCAAATACTAACGTTTAATTTTTTTTTTCTCACCTTATTTTTTTTAATTTGATTTTTGTAAACTTCTTTTGCTATATAGTCATCTGCATGTATCATTATTTGTTGCGTGAAATCTGGTTCATTGGCATTTATATTTATACATGACCGAAATTTTTCATGATCATGAATAAATTTTTTTATTGAATTTTCTGATAATTCCTCTATATTATGCTGTGAAAAGTAACTAATTATAGTTTCGACTTGTGATTTAATAACTTTTTGCCCATATGATAGTTTTTTTACAACAGATTCATGAATAACAAATTTTAGTTCTTGAAGTTTAAGTACGTTTCTCGCAGTTAGTAAAATTCTCGAGTCTCTAACAACTCTCGATTGAAGTATTATAGCATTTTCTGTTCTATAGAACGTTTTTGAGATAACAACATCCGAATCCTTGTTTATTAACACACATTCGGATTTAATAGGTACAGTCGATAAAACATTAGACAGCAACTTTCCCATGTATCCAAATAAACGATTAATAAACTCCTCATTAATGCATATATGTCTCCAAGGTGTGACAACATGTGATTTAATTTGTAGTGTAATAGAATAAAATCCAATTTGAATAAACTTACATTCTCTAAAATCAATGTTGAATGATGTAACGTCCAATAATTTAGAAGGTGGATTTGTTGGCGTGTATTTTGGCCATCTATTCAGTGCTTTCCGAAGTCATTTTTTCTTATGTATGAGATACCGATAGTCCATGTTAGACGAGTTTCTGTAAGATGTGAACATGTTCATGTTGCTGACTCGATGTTGACGATGTTAAACTGTAAAACCTATATCGAATAATCAAGTATTTTACTCTATTTTATAGCTAATAGAGAAATTCTAACTGAATCACTCAACCAATGAAATTATTATATTTTTTTAAATTTTAAGTAGGGATGAAAAAACACACACAAAACATCTACACATAAATGTTTTTAACCCGATTCTATATTGGATGATTTTTTAACCTTCTAAGAAGTTTATTAATAAATAAAGAACACCGTATAGAGAGATATTCAGAAATCCCTTAGGAGGGGGGTAAACCCATAATATTAAAAATGTGAACACTTGTATTAACCACTTGTATTACCTTGTATTACACAAAAACTGTGTAAAACTTATAACTTTTAAATAAAATATACGTTTTTCAGTTTAAACTTAAAATATTCGTTAACANAACGAAACCAAAATGATGGTATTTTTGTTTTTGTTAGATCCAATATTAATATAGTCTTTTTTGAGTATGACTTTGTTGAAACCAATATCATTAAACTTATTTTTACTAATTTAAGTATGCCTATTATATTATTATGTGTTTATAGATCACCCTCAACTGACATTAATATTTTAAATAATACGGTAAATAAAGTTATTACAGAAAATAAAAAAAAAGATTATTACACCGTGCTTATCGGGGATATGAATATAAATATAGCTGGGGACAATACACTAAATAATGATTATCTTAATTTATTATCGGGAAACGGGTTTGCGTCTTTCATAAACTTATATACTAGGTTACTTTACGGGCAAAAACACGCATGTCTTGATCATATATTTGTTCACAATGAGGAACACTTAATTACACAAGTAAATGCAGGCATTTTACAGACAGATATAACTGATCATTTTATAACTTGCGTTTCTATACCTATAAACACCGTTTTGACTAAAAAAAGTAATTCATTTTCTTTCATTGATCATGATAAATTAAAAAAATTTTTAATTGAAGAAGAATGGTTGGAAGTATATGATAAAAATAACGCAAATCAATGTTTTTCTGAGTTTCAGAAAATCTTATCTATCTATGTAAATAAATCAACAACTTCTAAAAAAATAACTTCAAAAAATTTCCGATTAAAAGAATGGATGTCAGCTGGCTTATTATGTTCTACCCGACATAAACAATCCTTATCTCTAAAATGTAAAAAAAATCCTAATAATACTAAATTAGCCCTTTACTATAAAAAATATAAGAACAAGTATACACAAATTTTGAGACTTGCAAAAAAGACTTTTTATGAGAAAAAATTTAATAGCATTTCAGAAAATCCCAAATTAACTTGGAAACTTATAAATGAAATTTCTTGCTCTAAAGTTAATAATAAAGAAGATATCAAAACTGTAATATATAATGATCAGGAATATGATGTGTTAAGGTATATATTTAAGTGCCGCGCACACAAAACAAAAAATAAGGTAGGCGACACAAGTTCGGGTTTAATTTGAAAAGGCGTCGAGCCGTTTATTAGACTAAGATTATAAAAGTAAACGCAACAGAAAATGACACTGATGCAAGATTTCACAATATGAAAATAAATGTTGATGGTTTTGACAAGTGTATATTATAAGCGGTTCGAGAATCGGACGACGGTACGTTTGGTGGTGTCACGAAGATGACTGACTCTGCACGTATTATTGCGGCGGGATATTCGACGCTAGGCACTTGTTGGACTTTACACCAAGGCGATAACGCGTGTGTGCAACGGTCCGGTTTACAGTGAAGCGGTGGCTGAGAAGGAGCTGACACGACCGTGGGGTGTCAACGTATGATAACGCCGTGGCCGTGTCAAATACCCCCCCACCAAGCCGCCGCTGTACTCTAAAAGCAAATTGAAATAGCGCATATGGCGTTCCGTTTTGGTCAAATATATTAAAGGCGCATAGTGCAATAATAAGCCGCAATACTTACGTTGTATGTTTGATGGAGTGGGTGGTAATGCCCCGCGGAGTGCGCGCAGCAGGGAGGGGATTGGGGGAATAGTCCCCGTGCGTAACGCGCTTGAGGTGGGGGGGGGGTCTTACTCGGCCGGGGCCTCCGGCTGTGCTGGGGAGGTGGGACAGGAGAGGAACAAGTCCATCTCCCGTACCAGGCCGTCGTCCTCCAGCTCCATCGGCGTCTCCGGTTGCTCCTCCTGTGCGGTGGTCGTTGGTGTCGTTGTTGATGCTGGGACCACCAGCGCCCCGTCCACGTACATGCCCGATGGCCGGTTAACCATAGTCGTCGTCATTGTCGTCATTGATGTTGGTGGTGGTGTTGTTGATGTTGATGTGGTTATTGTCGACGTTGATGTGGTTGTTGCTGGTGCTGTCCGCAGTGTTGCGGTCGGGGATATGGGTGGTGTAAGGTCCTCATCGACGACTACCCCCCAACATCGGAGCATATACTCCCGGTACTTCTTCGTCCGGCGTTCCCGCTCGGACGGAGAGTAGTACCGAGGAGTATTACTAGTCGGAGAGGTAGATGTCGATGCGGCCCTTGCACTGCCCCTGGCGTACGGATGCTTCGGGCGGCGTGATGTCGGTGGGGCGCTGTCTGGCCGCGTAGCGCGGAAAGACAGTAGGGGCCGAGGGTATGGGGCCACCCGTGTATTGCTTGTGGTCGCCTCCCCTGGGCGGGGAAAGTGTTGGGCCGCCACGTTTATCACCCGACGAGGTTTTGGGGGGAGGGGAGCTTGGACTCCCTAGGCGGACGGGGAGGCGTGGGGGAGGGAGTTTAGCGCGATTTGTATTTCGCGCCTCACCTCCTCGCGACCCGCCCGCACACCCCGTTCGAAGTGGGCTCGAGCCACGGGATTCCTTAGTACCTCCGGCAGGGGGGCGCGCGAAGCATCCTCCGCCGAGCGCAGTACGCGCGGGAGAGGATCCGTCGGGAGGCCCACCCGGCCCGCCAATTGGCCAACCAACCGTTGGACCTCCTCGACGGATAAGGGTGTGGCTGGGTTGTTGTTGTCGTTGTTGCTCATGCTGAAAAATAACAAAAAAAAACTACTAACTTTGTTTTGTCATACATGAGACATGAATTTTTCTTGGTGGGGACTGGTCCGTTAAGAACACGCCTTTACCGAGGCGGTCGGCTAATCTCACGGGGCCCCACCACTTCGGTGCAAAACCCGTACAAAATTGTTTATTCGCGTTTAATAAGTGATGCGCTTTATAGTACACAACGTCGCCGACCGCGTATTTTGTTTTGATATGAACGGGCGGCGGTGTTATTTTTGTGTTAGTGATTTGTCGTTCGCGTTCTAACCGGTCGTTATTGATAGTAGCAGGTGCTACCGGTTGTACTCGCTGTAGTAGCCAATCACCTAAAAAAAGTTAAAATTTTTTATGACCGAAGAGAGAAACTGGTCGTTGTTTTGCCACTCTCGTACTTCCCCCCTCGTGAACGGTCGGTCGCAGATCGCGTCGTTTGCCTCGGTAATGGAGTAGATATTATCGAGAGTAGCGGTGGTTGTGGGCGGACTAGACATTGGCTCGCCTAACAAATTGTCGTCCAGGGTNAGACATTGGCGCGCCTAACAAATTGTCGTCTAGGGCGTCTTCGTCAACAGGGGGTCCGTCCGTTGGGTGACGTGACAACATGTCGGGTGCTTCGTTGTGTTTGCCCGGTACGTGTGTCGTGGTGAAATTTAGGTTACCCAGGTGTAGCGCCCAGCGGGTCAACTTACTGTTTGTTCCCTTCGCTTTGTGCAGATAAGTTAGCGCTGAATTATCTGTGTATAACTCGAAAGGGGCGTACTCTAAGTATGACCTAAATTTATCAGTTGCCCATATTATCGCTAGACATTCGCGCTTGACAGCGGCATAACGTTTTTGCGTATCCGACAGCTTTTTACTCGCGTAAGCGACGATATCCTTTACCCCCGGTTTTTGCNGACGATATCCTTTTCCCCCGGTTTTTGTCCGTGTTGAAATAATACCGCCCCTACGCCTAGTTCACTAGCGTCGGTTTGTAGGCAAAAGATCTTTGTGTAGTCGGGAGAGGAAAGGCGTGGTGAGTCGCATATTGCCGATTTAATGTGCTCGAAAGCGTGTTGTTGTGGTTGAGACCACGACCACTTCTCCCCTTTCTTTAACAGATGGGTGAGGGGATCGATGCTGTCCGCATAATTGTCGACGAACTGACTATACCAGTTGCATACCCCTAAAAATTTTCGTATATCTCTTACATTGCGTGGGACTGGAATATCGCGTATAGACTGTAATTTTTCCGACTCTTTGTCTATGCCTAACCCATGCACCCGGTGTCCCAAAAAAGAAATTTCAGAATACCCGATCTTACACTTTTTAGTGTGGCATGTTAGGCCATGACGCATTAGGCGTTCTAGAACCTTGCTAAGGTGGTCTAGATGTGTTTCGACACTGTCCGAAAAAATTAAAATATCGTCCAGATAGACTTGAACGAAGTCGTCGATGTACGTTTTGCTGTAAAGAGCATTGCCAGTAACCCGATTTTAAATCGAGTGACGTGAAAACTTTCGCCCCCCTCATGCTTCTAATCATTTCGTTTAGATTAGGCATGGGATACGCGTCTGATACGGTCACATCGTTAAGTCGCCTATAGTCGACACATAAGCGATATGAGCCGTCTTTTTTCTTGGCCAGCACGACTGGTGCTGACCAAGGAGAAGTGCTGGGTTCTATGAGCCCTTGTGATTCCATGTCGCTTACCATCGTCTATAGGCGTCGGGTCTTTTATAACGATGTTGTGTTCGATAAGCTTTGTGCGACCTACCGCGTCGTTAAAAACTGCAGAATAATTTTTTATCGTGCGCGTTAATAATGCGTGTGTATGTGGGTCACCTGCTATATCTATTGTTGAGAGATCTACGTCGGGTAGTGTGTACTNTGCTATAACTAGTGTTGATAGATCTACATCGGGTAGCGTGTGTCGAGTACTCGCTTTCCAATAAGCTGTAGTGCGTCGCGTCGCGCCCAAGTGAATTGTACCTGCAGCGTAGTCCCAGGAGACTTCCTGTTCTGTTAGAAAGTCGTGTCCCAGAAGTACGTCACAATACAGATTCTCTATGATAACAGCTGTGAACTTTACTTGTAGATCCGCAATTTTTGTTATAAAGGTAGCTGTGCCGGCCGTGTCTGTTGTGTGGCCGTCAGCTAACCTAACTGGGGGTGTTTGTCCGTTGTGCACAATTCCAAATTTGTGAGCTGTTGCTCGAGTGGTATACGATTTTTGCGCTTGAGAGTCAAGTAAGGCCGTCACAAAGCCGTTGTCAAATTCCAGCTCCACAGCTGGAGTAGTAATTTTACGCGGGCGTGTTTGTGCGGCAATACTCAGGTGGTTAGCGGTTCGAACGGGGAGCATTGAAACGGTTTGTTCGCCGGCAGTATTAATTGCCATAAGCGGGTAGGCCGTTCCTGCCGTATTC